CTACGTTCAAATTAAAAGCATTTACCTTGTTATAGGGTTTAATTAGTTAAATTAAAATTGTTGATTGAAAACCAGGAATGTGTCGGCAAAATTTCTGGTAAGACTAATGGGCCTATTATGTAAGGCGACTGGTAGCCGATGTGCAACGATATACTAAGATTTGCATTTCTGTCGGTTACTGAGTCCAGATGCGCAGATGCGTTGTTTACCGCTTATGACAATTTGTTGTGTAAAGTAAATTCGGATGTTGTCTGCGTTTTTCTGTATACTGAGATTGATCGCTATGCATAATACAAAGTGCGAACACTGGTAGATATTGCTACTATACCGGCAACTAGATACCAGTCGCCATACATAATAGGACCATAAAACAGTTAGCGAAAAGAAACATACAAAATCCCATGAAGAAAAAGTGAAAAAGCTTTTAACATAAAATGAAATAAATAAATAAAACAAGAGCAGAAAAAATTCAATTAGTCCGGACCGCATGATGCTGCTATAATTTGTGGGAGATTTTATTTCTGTTGTCCGTGGAAAAACGAGGCGATTTTTTGGCAAGCAAACAATTGACACGCCCTATATTAAAAGTTAGGTACAATCTGAACACCCTGATTAAAAAAACACCTGTTCATTCATTTAACTAGCTAGTTTTTGCCAATTTGAATTTACTCTTAGTCAATGCGCCTATGTACCTAATTATTGGATGGTATTAAATCAATTTTTTTTCTGGAACAAAGTCTACTTATTTGTTGTTTTCCCATAACGTTAAATATACGCGAAATACGCAACAAATTCGCCGTATTTTTTTCCGGAGTAAATTTATTTGTAACTTTTATTTTTGTAGGTGGTTGCTGCTGGCGCAGTGCCGCTCTTCCTGCAGTTGCTCTCTTCGCCCGCTCCCAATGTTTGCGAACAGGCAGTTTGGGCTTTGGGTAATATCATCGGTGATGGACCGGAGTTGCGTGATTACGTAATCAAACATGGCGTTGTACAGCCACTGTTGTCGTTCATTAAGCCAGACATACCAATTTCTTTTTTGCGGAATGTTACATGGGTTATTGTGAATTTGTGCCGCAATAAGGATCCACCACCACCAGCCGCCACCATACACGACATCCTGCCCGCACTAAATGTGCTCATCCATCATACGGACACCAATATACTTGTAGACACTGTTTGGGCAATTAGTTATCTAACCGATGGTGGTAATGATCAAATTCAAATGGTGATTGAAAGCGGTGTCGTACCCAAGCTGATACCATTGCTGGGACATGCGGAAGTTAAGGTGCAAACGGCTGCTCTACGTGCTGTCGGCAATATTGTGACCGGCTCAGATGAGCAAACACAAGTGGTGCTCAACTACGATGCGTTGTCGTACTTCCCAGCATTATTGTCGCATCAAAAGGAGAAAATTCGTAAGGAAGCAGTATGGTTCCTGTCAAACATTACGGCCGGTAATCAGTCGCAAGTGCAGGCGGTCATCAATGTTGGTTTGCTGCCGAAAATCATTGAGAATTTAAGCAAAGGCGAATTCCAAACACAGAAGGAAGCTGCCTGGGCAATCAGTAATTTGACAATTAGTGGTAATCGCGATCAGGTGTTCACATTAATCAAGGAGGGTGTTATACCGCCCTTCTGTGATTTGCTCTCCTGCCAGGACACACAAGTTATCAATGTGAGTATGCATATTTAATATTAATTTGTTAAAATGCAAATGATATCTTATTAATTCTTAAATCGTTATTGAAATTTGCTTTTTCTCGCAGGTTGTTCTTGACGGACTCAACAATATGCTCAAAATGGCCGAAAATCACGTACAGGAGGTGGCTAATTTAATTGAAGAATGTGATGGTCTCGAGAAGATTGAAAAACTGCAAAATCATGAAAACGTCGAGATTTACAAGTTGGCATACGAAATCATTGAGCAATACTTTTCGGATGAGGTAGGGAACTCGACATTATTTTCATTTAATATCTAAACTAATACGTTAGAGCAAAATGTTTCCCGATACTTATATTATTCTCTTTTGTTTGTATTACAGCCGGAACAAGCCAGCCTCGCACCCACCAACGACGGCACACAATTCCAATTTGATCCGAACGCTGATAGCAAATTACCAATGAATTCTTTTGACTTTTTGAATTAGCACGGCTGCTGTGGAAACAATAAAATTTTAAACATAAAGCTACTACCACCAACAACACGACCGCGACTAGCACCTTAAAAACCACCACCAACAACTCCAACAAAAAATACTGTTGAGCCATCAAGCGCCAGCCAATTGACGTATCAAATATTGAAAACGACAACACCGGCAGCGACGGCCAAGTGTTGAACTGACTGACTGACAGCAAAGATAAATTTGCAAAACAAAAAAAAAAAATAAAAAAAAATATAAAAAAAAAAAAAAAAAAACAAAAAAATGTATACACAGACAACAAAACAAGAATAGTAGAGAAGTAACTTAACAAAGAAGTAGCAGCAGCAAAAGAAAGATTAAGCAAAGGAGAACACAAGTGGCGACAGCGACAAAACATCAAGAGAACTGCACTGCATAAGCTGTTGTTAGCTAACATCACACACACACTTCAAATCTATTTACATTGGAAACGCCACGAGCGTGTAGCGTGCAGCAGCGACAGCAGCAGAGAACAATGACTATGGAGCCACAGACAGGAATTACACGTATGAATTCAAACTGCGACAAAAACAACAACAGAAATAGAAATTGTCAAGAAGTTCGCCAGTCCAAGTTGATTATAATTATAATTAATATTATATGAAACGAAATTATATACATACATATATATGCCTATATATACATGAAATATTTTGAGTTTAAGGATTGTAGAGAGAAAACGAAATGAAAAAAAAAATCCACAACCACAAAAAGTCTACTGTCACATCAACATAATTTTCATCATCA